CTGGTTTAGGACCTCAGGCCAACCAAGGGGATGGGTCAGCAGCAAGACCTCCATCTGCTGTGGGTCATGTGGTGAGTGTGGAGGCACATGCTGGCTGGCAGGGCCAGCGTGGTGGGGCCTGGAGTGCTGCCTGCTCTGGCCTTGGGCTGGTCGTGGCACCTTTCTGAGCCCATGGTAAAATCAGGATGATGAGGAGGATGATGATGATGATAGTCTCAGCCCACTCACTACCAGGAATTGGTAATAGGAAAGGGTTTGGTGTGCGGGGACTCCTGGCTTTGGTGAGGGGGGACTGGGAGGAGGGAAGGTGACCAGGCAGGAATTAGAAGCTTGAGAAGTTACAACATACTGGGAACTTACTGGGGCAGGCACTCTTCTATGTGTATTAATTTTTTAAAATTAATTTTTAAAAATATTTTTATAGAAAGAGGAAAGGAGAAGGAGAGGGAGAGAAACATCAATGGGTTGCCTCCCTTATGGACCCCAACCCGACAGGGGACCAAAGCCCCAACCTGGGCATGTTACCTGACCAGGAATCAAACCCAGTGAGCTTTGGGTGCATGGAGCAATGATCAACCAGCTGAGCCACACCGGCCAGGGCTACGTTTATTAATTTATTTCATCATCACAACTCCAGGAGAAGTTGCTATTGTTATTCCCGTTTCACAGACAGGGAAACCGGCACAGGTGAAGTAACTACCCCAGGTCACACAGCACTGAAGTAGCAGAGTCTAGATTGATACCCAGAGAAGCCCTCTTTTTAAAAAATATATATTTTTATTGATTTCAGGGAGGAAAGGAGAGGGAGAGAGAGAAACATCAATAATGAAAGAGAATCATCGATTGACTGCCTCCTGCACTCCCCTCACTGGGGACCGAGCCCACAACCCAGGCATGTGCCCTGACCGGGAATTGAACCGTGACCTCCTGGTTCCTGGCTTGCCCAGGCTATGCAGTCAGAAGCAAGGGATCTGGGACCCACTGAGGCTCAACCTCTCAACCACACGGGCTCCAGAGCAGCACTCTTAACCAGCGCACTGTCTGCTTCTCGCTCAGGGGTCTGGGGAAGGGGGCACAGGGAACCCATTTTCCTCTCTGCAACTGCTCTCAGCACCTCACTTCTGTCCAGAGGTGTAGGGTTCTGGAAGTGCAGAAACCTGTGGTCGCAGGAAGCCTGCAGCTGGGGGGTGAGGCAGGAGGACAGGCAGGGCCACAGGGGACCAGTGGGCTGGTTGTTCGGAGCACGGGGTGCCCGGCAAGTGGGCTGAATGAAATCAGTGGGCCCATGAGGCTGCTGCGTTCTGAGGGGGACCCTTGTAATCCACACTGAACTGCTCTGTGGGTTGTGCTTGCCCCTGGGAAACCCAACTCCTTCCGAACCCAGGAGAGGGCAGGGTGTGGGCAAGAGAACAGGGCTGTTTGGGTCCCAGGCCCAGGAGGCAGACCCTCAACTGAGCCAGCTGGGGGCGGGGACCTCACTTCCTGGGCTGAGCTCCCCTGAGAACCGTGCAGACCAGCATTTACTGGAAATGCCACCTGGAAGCCCTCCGGCAACGCCTGCGAATTGGGCACTGCCGTGAGGTTGGGCAGAGGGAGCAAAACAACTTCCATCTGAAAGGCTGCCCCTGTGGCTTTGGAGCAGGGCAGCCTCGGGGAGTCCCAGCTCCCCAGCTTCTGACTGCATGGCCTGGGCAAGCCGCTGCTGCCTTCTGAACCCCACCTTCCCCATCCATGAAATGGGGATCATAGTCAGCTCCACTTTGCCCTGGCTGCTGCGAAGATCAGCGAGGAGGTGTGTCCAGGTGTCCTGCCTAGGATCCGGCAAGAGCAGATGCTCAACATCTGTGAGGCCAGGTGCTGGCATGAGGGCTGGGTGTCAGAAACTGGAGCCAGGGCATTTGGGGGTTACCTGTCAGGCTCTGGGCGGGGTTCAGGGGAGCCATGTGGACAGGAGTCTTGCCTCTCCGGCCAGACTCAGGCCTGTGGACTTGACCTCCCTGCTGGCTGCCTAGAGGGACCCAGCTGTCCAAAGTCTGTCTTCAGATGGACCAATGACCCTGTAAGGGAGTGACTCTGTTCTCAAAAATTTAGGCCAGATCTGGTTATCAGAAATTCATCCAATTCTTCTATCTGGGACGCCCGCGGCCTGATCATAAGTGGAGCCTCATTGCATCTTGGGGAACTGGGGGGAGTTGCAGCTGGGGGAGGGGATTTCTCCCAGGTGGGCCCCTGCTTCTCTGGCTCCTCCCCGTCTGCCACCAGCCAGCTCATGCGGTTTAGCCAGTTCCTCAAAGCCCATTTACACTTCCTTCTTTTCACTTATTATTATTACAAATCCTTGTGATAATAGCACATTAAAAAGGGCTTTTATGCCCTAGCCCCGTGGTCGGCAAACTGCAGCTTGAGAGCCACATGCAGCTCTTTGGCCCCTTGAGTGTGGCTCTTCCACAAAATACCAC